GAGAACATGCCCCTTGTGAAGGACCTCCTGCACCCGTCCCCGGAGGAGGAGAAGAGGAAGCACAAGAAGAAGCGCCTGGTGCAGAGCCCCAACTCCTACTTCATGGACGTGAAGTGCCCGGGTGAGGGCCGGGGGCGGGGGCCGCTCGGGGTCCCGGGGCGGCCGGCGCGGGGTGGGGGCCGGGGCCGGGGGCCGGGCTGGCCTCGACTCCCCGCTTGTTGGTTCGCAGGGTGCTACAAAATCACCACCGTGTTCAGCCACGCGCAGACGGTGGTGCTGTGTGTGGGCTGCTCCACCGTCCTGTGCCAGCCGACAGGAGGAAAAGCAAGGCTCACAGAAGGTGAGCCGCTGCGCGGTGTCGTCACTTTGTCGCGAGCTTTAGAGGGAGGGTCGTGCTTTCCTTGCTTGAAAGCCGACTCCATCTACCCGCCTCGTCCCGGAAAAGTTTCGGGAACCTCATGTTCCTTCTTAGTCTCGGACACTCCAGTCTAGAGCGGGGACGACGGGGGAGGAGGCGCAACACGGGAGCTAGCGACTGCGAGCTCCCCGCGGGACGTCCGAGGAGAGCCAGTGGGGCGCAGCGGCAACTACGGCACCTACGCTGCCGTCCGGTAACCTCTGAACCTTTTCCTTGCAGGATGCTCCTTCAGACGGAAGCAGCACTGAACGCACCCTGAGTCAACATGAGTGGGGAACTATCCCAATAAACAGATTTTGGATACGTTCTGTTTATTGTCTTGGTTTTACTGCTAGGAAGTTCCTATCTCAAGTATTGAGGGACAACCAGAAGAGTGGACTGCTGAGAGTTATTTGGGGCAAGTAAGTGACCAAGCACTTAAAGGGTCCCTTTGGGACCTTTCTATCCAGCTGGGCTCATTTGAGTCCACGTTAAGAGCTTGATGAAAATCTGAGATACTGTATATGAGGCATTTCTTTCACTTTTGTATTTTCTTAGAATTCGGAACCAGCAGTCGATCTCTAAAAGACAACCCAGGGGCGGCTGGGTGGCTCAGTCAGTTAAGCATCTGAGTCTTGATCTTGACTCGGTCCTGATCGTGTGGATCCAAGGCTGGCATCAGGCCCCTTGCTGTCAGCATGGAGCCTGCTTGGGATTCTCTCCTCTCTCTGCTCCTCCCACCGTTCACTTTTGCAGGCATGCGTGCTCTCTCAAAATAAACTATTAAGAAAACCCAGTCCGACACACGTTAGTGTAGAATAGCTTAAAACCTTTTATAATTCTCAGAAGCCTCGTTTGGGGGCTTATGGCTCCTGGTCTAGGGCTAGAAATCTCCAGTCGTCTACAGTTCAGGGGACGTGTCCAAGTGGACGTTCGTGCCTTACACTCCACAGCCAACGTTGTAGCCGATTCTGGACCGGTGGGGACTGTGGACTCGTGAAAGGTGGGGGAGAACGTGTGGGGGCAAAACCTAGAAATAAAGCGGGAAGAGAGATGAATAAACATGGATATTTGAGCTTTTCAAAGGTGAGGGTGCTGATTGTTTACCTGGTTGTGGTGTTCCTAGGGTTGGTACGTAAACCACTGGAACTGTCTGTATCTTGTTTAAGAAGGCATTGTATGCTAGAAAAAGAACAAGGGAGAGGTCACCAGAGGCAGATCTGTTTTTGTTGGAAAAAGACCCTACTAAGCAAGTTTAACTCAAAATATTTAAGTACTTCTACAAAAAGTTAATAATGCTTTAAGTTAACTTAAGAAGAGCATAGGAACTTTTCATTCCAGTGATTTTAGAAGTATTTCAATTTAGGGGTGCCCGGGTGGCTCAGTCATTCAAGTGTCCACCTCTTGATTTTGGCTCAGGTCATCTGGTTTCGTGGATTTGAGCCCCAAGGTGGGCTCCACACTGACAGTGCAGAGCCTGCTTGGGATTCTCCGCCTCTGTCTTCTCTCTCTGGGGGGGGGGGGGGGGGGGGGGGGGGGGGGGGGGG